CAGTTAAATTAAAATTTATTATGTAAATAAAAATGTTATAAGCATTTGTGTCAAAACTTTTTGAACGCCCCACGTATATAACACGTGTCCATTATGTGTTCTCATTCTACGGCGACGTTTTACGGCAGGCAATACATTGTACAAAATTTAAATTGACAGAAATAACTGAGAAGCGAGGCTCAAAAAGATGAAAGGAATAAAAATGCTAAATAAATTCAATAATAGATCCGAATTTGCCAAATTACCCTTTGCCTTCAAAATCTCTAACGGTGGTTTTACGCCAAGTCAATTTTGTAATTTATTTTTATTTGTATTGCATCTATTATAAATACGTTCTAATTCATTAACTCTAAATATTAAAGTTATAAGCAGTTTAATTCCTTGTAGGAAAGTCAACTTACCTTATGTCTACTCTATTAAATTAAGCGCAGCAACAAGAAATTCCATAATTGGGTAATATACTGTACATGATTTTCGTTATTACGTTTTTTTTGTAACACGCTGTATAAAGGCAGTTGATAGTGCTTCTTCGAACTTGTATATTGACTAGAACATAGCCCAATTTGGTCTATGTCATTTTTCAGAAACTTAAAATATTCCTATTCAAGTATTGATGTAATGTCCGTATATATGGGGAAAGAAAATAACAAAAAATAATTAGAATATGCGATAAGCTCAGGGGGTCATAGCGCAAACCAGATTGGATTTGGTATCGTGTATCCGAACGTCAATGTAATAACTCGGAGGCAAACTTTCCGGTTTAATTGTGAACTGGAAGTCAAACTTGGTATTTATTTTGACAGGACATTGTTTAAAAAGTTCACAAAGGTTGCCAGAGAATGACTGGTAATAGCCTTCGACGTCGTCGTTGTTAAAAATAATGACTTCAACAGTAGCTTCGGTAATGTCAATTGGTGCGGTTCCAGAAATGCCAAAAGTAACGTCTTGGTCAGAAACAATAGAATCAGGTGATAACGATACGGAGAAAGGCGGTAGATAAGAACATCCAACAAATGGAGTAGCTCGTTTACTTAATCCATGAGGAATAGCATTAATTACTGAAATTGTAGCCAACGCAAAGAATAGAAAAAAATTTGGGTTCTTCATAGTTTCTGTATTGTTAACAAGACGATTGGTAAATTTCGGTTGATACAGTCCAACATGCTATCATGCTATCGTTTTATAAGAAAATAATACCTTTGGTTGAAGCCTAATTTAGCCTTTATATATTGCCCGTGTAACAATTCGAGATATCACATTGTAATACGACCACACTCCATCGCCGTTTTAAAATTACCGATTACGGTCATACTATCCAACACACTTTTCACGTCGCAACAGTATATTAACACAATAACGACCGAAATTAATATACTGTGTGACGATAAGTATTATATTTCTTTGATCGATGCCAATCATATAGTATTAGTATCAGACATACGGTTAAACTACTCTAAGCACATCTTCTCTAACTCTGGACTTATCTGTTATCGCATGCTCATTTAAATACAGATGCAACCGGTTTTTATGAACTTTAATTAATAGTATTCTAAGCGCATATACATAGGCAGACTCGATAAGTCAGTCTGAGATGGCTGGCTCGGTGGACCCTGGGGTAGTTTCCAAGAAACGCATTACTTTTCGTATTCGGTCGAACCATTGTATTCATTGCCGTTATTAGCAGGAGTAAATTTCTCAGCTTATTTGATTGAAAAAGCAAACCATTTAAATCGAAAATGGTAACTGTGAGTCCTATGCAAATAATATGACATATTCCTCCTAATACTTCTGTACCATCTCAAAGCAAAGAGCTGAGAGACTTTGTGTAGCTATCAATCCTAACTAATAATGTAAGACACTTATTTTTATAAACATTTTAACATTTTTATTTTGACTAATTCTGACTTACTTTGGGTACATTAAAGGTTTAGTATTTTTCAGCATTCAGTTTTTAAAAAACTAAAAGGTGATAAATGACTAAAGAATATGTATTAATGCATTAATATTCTGCTTGAAAGTGATTAACTGGGTAAATATTGCTGATATTTCAAGCATAATTCATAGCATGTGTTGCTGTTGTTGATGATGACTCAATCATCAGAAGCTTATTTTTTCCCTCATTGTATTTAATCTCATCTACTGTTGCCATCCTGTTAAGAGACCGAGCCCATGACACAAATGATCCTATGCCATCATTATCTGGAAGATTGATCATAGCTTCATGCAATAAATTGAGCCTATCTGCTGCTTCATTGACTCCACAACCATACTTCTCCCAAGGCAGATTTCCTCCACGTCGCATCCAAAGCAAAGTATATGCTAAAGATACAAGATCATCAACTGGAGTCCTTTCTATTTTCATCATTCCTTCAGCAAGCACCATTAGTATTAGAACTTCATTCATAAATGCTGCTGTTCCTGTAACAGTACCAGGTTGTTCTTCACTTGCAAATGCTGGGGTGGCTGATGCCCAATCAATTAAGATAACATCCACAGGTTTCTCATTTATAATTTCATATGTGAGGTCAATTGCACTATCACCACCATAATTGAAACATGAGGCACTGATACAATTCATTGGTGAAATATCATTGTGAACTATACCAAGCTGATGCACTTTGGCAAGTGTATCTAGAAGTAATGCACCAACTTGCTGGACATTCCTTGTGTCAACTACATCTCTCCAATTCTTATTCTGGTAGTAGTGTTGTGCATAGGTTTCACCAAATGGCTCTATAATGATCACTCCATGACCTGAAATCTGTTCATGACCAACAAGTTGCACTGTTGGTAACCCACGAACACCAATAAGATGCTTGAGGACACCTGCTTCTTGTTTGGCTACTCCTTCTTGTCGTTCAACTTTCACTACACATGTGGAATCAGCAAATGACCCCAGGAAGACAATGTAAGAGTGTCCAATACCAATTCTCTTATTGATTGTGACTGAGACTTCATTGTGTACAGTTAATACTGGCATCTTGAAAGGTGGTGGTGGGAACATATCAAAGGGTGAGGTAGCAGCAGCACGAAACTGTAAACTATTACTATGCCTTTTTTGATAGTGGAGTGCTCCAGTGAGCAGCTCAGCAGTTTCAAAATTCCATCGATACATGGGAGAGATTTTGATTTGCACATTTCTATTATTGACCACACAACCTTCACAAATCCACCACTGTAGTGCATCAGTTCCAAAACTATAATAGCAAACATGGTTGTTTACAGGCATGGTGTGACTCAAGCCTGCTAATCCAAAAAATTGTTTAGCATAGTTGTAGTTCTGGATAGCACATTCCATTGCCTTCTCTGCCAGGTCCTTTTTAACTTCATGTGCATATGTAAGACTGTAAGGTAATGATGCCTTTGTTTTGAGCCGTGCTGAAATTTCTGAGTGAAATTGTTCATCATAAGTGTGGAGGTCTGCATAGATCTGTCCTGCATTCCCACCTTCTTGCCTGTCTAAAATCACTCTCAAATCACAAATTTCAGCAATCTGTTTGAGAATGAAGTAGGCAACTGGTTGTTGCACCTGCTTTTCACCCTCCCCAGGTTGTTGCAACAATAACATTGCTGGATCCACATTGTGTGCCACTCTTGCAATCTGGTTTTGGACTGTAGATGCTTCTTGGCGCAGTTTTGATAAGAATGATGTGTCCTCCCAAATTATATGACCATCTTGTACAGCAGTTTGAAACTTAAAGGTTGTTGAGAAATTTTCGAGGTAAATGGTTGAATTTGTGGTTCTGAAACCTAGAATAATGCCTGTTAGCCAAATTTGAAATAAAATGCTTCAAACATCATATTAATATGGATAAATAAATGAAGAAATATATTACTACCCTATTACTATGCCTACACTACTCTATATCCCCAATGCCCAAGTCACAAAGTCATTACCTGGCTCCTCTAAGTTTGCAGTCTGCTGCTTTTGCAGCTCTGTCCTTTCTGCATGGAGGGATGCCCTTGTTGCATATAGGGGGATAAGAAGGTCCTTCCCCTTCTTATACCCAAGGTCTGGGTCTGTTTCAATTTCTTTGATTACTTTTTCAAGCTTTTTGATATCCTTGTTGACTTTCTTGATGGTCATGTTTATTCTGTGGAAATAGAAAGATTAAGACGTGCTGCATGATGTGATTTGATATATATATATATTAATGCTGATCAGTGGCTTAAATTATTATTATTGCATAATAATCATGTAACTATTGTTTTCCTGTATGCACAATGTGACCAATGGTAATCAATGCGCACAAATTACATAATTTAAATTACCCGAAATTTATGATGAACAAACGGATATTATTATAAAAACAGCACTGCACTGTTAACTTCAGTAAATATCGTTGAAATAATGTTAATATATCGTTTAAAGTAATAAAACCAACCCCTCGACTTCCACCAATAACATCTACAAAATGCTTATGTTCACAAGCGAAATTCTTTTTGGAGTATTTATTGGCTTTGTTCTCAGCCTGTTGCTAAATGACATAATTTATAATGGCCAACTCCGAATGTTAACAAAGATGAAGTTACTAAAAATGAAACTATCAGTGAACAGAACTTATCTGCCAGATATAGAAATGTTGTGGAACGATTTGAGAAAATTTAAGATCGAACTCCCTACATTTGTTACGCTAAATTTCTTTCTAGGGTTCGTCTAAAGCGGGAGCAACAAAGCAGCTTTAGAGGTCCACCTTAGTTGCGCCTAATAAAGGACACGAAACTAAAGCGGGAGCAACACAAGAAATCGGTCCAATTAAATTTCAAAGATTGGCGAAGTTAACCAATCTAATTACAAGATCATAAAAAAAATTTATAAATAACGCAAAATTTTACTATAATAACTAGCCTTTAACTTCTAAGTAAAAATGTTCAGCATAAAATTTTACTCATACATAGTGAAACTCAATAAGTCGGACACGGCAGGGCTGTCCGACTTATCAAAGAATCCGACTTATCGAAATAATTTTAATATAAAAAAAAAAGAAAAGTGCAGGGGATTTGTCCGACTTATCGAGTTTCCGACGTATCGAGATTCACTATGTATATTAAATGTCAATAACGTAATTAAAAAATTTTTTATTAATTCATGTATTTACCCCCGCCTTAGCCATTACCATCCCCCTTTTCTAGTACAGTCAACTTTCTTTATAACAAACTTATATAATGTCATTGTTGTAAAAACAGCGGACTTAAATACAATTTTCAAGATATCACTATTATGTTGAATGGTGTACAGTTAACTTTCCATAAGCATAATTTTGAATTCTTTTCCTCTCTCCTTTTATTACAGGCATTTCCTTTTCTCTCTCGCATAATTTCTTTTTTGCGCACCCGTTCTTGTCCGTTTTATTGTGAAAAATGTTAGAGAATATACGAGAGAAATTTTTACCCGTATATAAAAATTATTATCGATTGTAAAAAGGGTTTCACGAATATATTTTTGTAGTATACGGTAATTTATTTATTAATTGACCAGTCGGTCGGACTTTTGTATAAAGAAATACCAAGACTGGTCGGTATAAACAGCTGATTTTAATAGTGATTGAAAGTGGCAAAGCACATGTGGTCATTATAGGCACCAGTCGGTATAAAGAAGGTCGTTATAAAGAGAGTTTGACTGTACTACTTGACCCTTTATGGATGATTTTGACGCTAATCTTCTGATCTTACTATTCATGGTTATAGATCGACCAAAATCCTTCTGTCTTATACAGTGTGTAACGAAAAAACCGCCTTCCGAAAATTGTAAAAAAACCAAGGGGGCGTGTTGTTATTGATGACAAACGCGTCTTTATGTTTGATTACTCCCCATGTTAGTAAACGTATTCAAGTAATAAT